CTGCAATCCTAGGCCCTCAAAGGGAACTTTATTATTTGTGATTGGTATTAGATGATAACGGGAACGAAAGGACAGTAATTGATTAAAACTGCTTTCTATCATTTTTTGCTTAGGTTTACTCAAACAACTACGAACAGAAATGGAGTGAGACAGCATCACAATTTAATTGCTCTGACTTCAGATAAGTGAGTTTCTTAGCTGTTTTTCACGTCTAAAATAGGTCGATAACAGCAGCTACGTTATAGTATTTTCATGGGAATTAAGCTTGTTAATGAAGCTTGTGGAACATGTAAGGCTCTTTCCAATTCTGTAGCACAGTACTATACATCACACCGTGTGGTAACATCAACTGACAAAAGTATGTGCACTTGGAAATTCAATATTTTCAGTCTCATTTGGTAAATTTTGACCAATTTCTAGAAATTAATTATAAAATAATGAGCTATTTATACAATGATTTTTCAAATCATTACAGCTAAGAGTCAAGTTTGATTTCTCACCCATTTAAACATTACACCATGAGTAGATGGAACTCCACGGTGTGTCTGACTTCATCCTCCTGGGGCTGGCAGACTCTGCAGAGGCACAGCTGCTCCTCTTCCTGCTCTTCCTCCTCATCTACCTGGTCACGGTGCTGGGGAACGCAGGCATGCTGCTGGTCACTAGCCTGGATGCCCAGCTGCACACCCCCATGTACTTCTTCCTCACCCACCTGTCCTTTCTCGACCTCAGCTACTCCAGTGTCATCACCCTTAGAACCTTACAGACCTTACTGGCTTCCTCCAAGAGCATCTCGTTCCTGGGCTGCTTCACCCAGATGTACTTCTTCGTTATGTTCATTGTTGCTTCCTTCTCTCCTCCATGGCCATTGACGGCTGTGTAGCCATCTGCAGCCCTCTGCACTATCCGGTCGTTATGTCCACAAGACTGTGCCGTGCCCTGCTCGCTGGCTCCTATATAATTGGCTCTGTGGATGCCACTGTCAATGCAGTTTGCATGAGCAGACTGCATTTCTGCAACTCCAATGTCATCCAGCACTTTTTCTGTGACCTATCCCCAGTTCTAGCCCTGTCCTGCAGTGACACATATGAGGTGGAACTCATGATATTAATTCTTGCTGGCTCCACCCTAGTGGTGTTCCTCGTCACCATATCTGGATCCTATGTGTCCATTCTCTCCACTATCCTGAAAATGAATTCCATGGCCTTCTCTACCTGTGCCTCTCACCTCCTGGGAGTCACCGTCTTTTATGGCACTATGATCTTCACTCATTTAAAGCCCAAGAAGTCCTACTCCTTGGGAAAGGATCAGGTGGCCTCTGTGTTTTACACGATCGTGATCCCCATGTTGAATCCACTCATCTACAGTCTCAGAAACAAAGAGGTGAAACATGCTGTCCTCAAAATCCTGCAGAAGAGAGGGGGCTCCATACAATTAAAATCACAGTGTCGCTAGGCATTTACAGTCTTTTCATTTTCCTCTTCGGAATTCCTTTTGGTCTCTCTCTGAAGCAACTGAATCTCTTTGTTCTGCTCGTTACCCTCTGCTTAACTAAGCACCATCTTGAACATGTCCATGAACGTTGTTTTAGAAATTCATACTGTAGCGGCTGGGGATTTAGCTCAGCGGCATAAGCGCCTGCTTGGCAAGTGCAAGGTCCTGAGTTCAATCCCCAGAACCAAAAAAAAAAAAAAAAAAAAAGTAACAGAAATTCATACTGTAATTGGAAGTCATCAAGTACATGTTAAATCTGTGGCCTAAATATATGTGATTTTTTTTAAGGGAACCTAATGTACAAAGAAGCAAATATGCTTACTTTTTAAACTATCATACAATTTCCATGCCTACTACAATTTTAGAGAAGTTTATCATGAAAACATACATGTTTTTTATAGTTCACTGTGTTTATAATATAGAGAATAAGAGCAGTTAGTTGCAATTCCTTTCAAATCAAACATTCTAGCACTTAGAATCTACACCTAGAAACTTTTCAGTGAATAACCCTCATTAATTTACTAAAATTTTATGACTAGTTTCCCCCAACTACACTAGCTATATGATAACTCAATGATCCTCTCTCTGATCAGGAAGTGGATGTAAAATTTTTTGGGTCATGATTAGCAGAAGATTTGAACTCCTAACATATTTTAATGCATACTGTTTTTGAAGATTATTCCTTCATGTTTTATAAATTTCTTTTGGTAAATTTAATTGGTCAACACACAAAACCTAAAAGAAAAATTCATAATAAAGTAAAATACTGAAGTAGAATTAAGTTATATGAAAGTGCATATATTAAGACTGGAACAATTTGGCAAATAATAAAAATTATTAAAGAAAATAGAAATGCAAGAGCAATTACTGACAGTTTTGTACATTTTACTTTATTATGAATGCAAAGCATGGAACTACTGGCTTCTTTTAATTTTATTTTATTTTCAGTATGCATTAAAATATGTTAGGAGTTCAAATCTTCTGCTAATCAAGGTCATGAGTTCAATTCCTGGTACCACAAAAAAAGAAAAAGAAAAGAAATCTAAAAGACTGATTTCTAGAAATAGGGAAGGTAATCTGGGAATGAGGGCTATAAGGGAGAGGATTATAATAGGAGTGAAGATAATCAAAATATATTATACACAGGTAGCAATGTACCAAAACAAATCTCATTATTTGGTATTAATAATCTGCTCCAAAATTTAAATATATATATTTACTTGACATGCACAACTGCAGAATCAGTAACCCAAAGACTTGGGAAGTTTCTGATGCTTCTCTTAACACTCAAGGAAGAATGGACTGCCATATGGAATCATCACTGGACAAAAGGGCTCAGTGGAATGATAATCCACGGAGGGAGGAGAATCTCATACGGTCCCTCTTCCTGCGTTCTCCTTTCCTCCGTGCAAAGAACTTCCTTTGGTTATAGATCACAAGCCTCCTGGAGGAGGTGACATACTTTCACCAAAGTTAGGCCATAGAATGTCTCTGCGGCCAGCTTGTACATAGAAAAGGTGGCAGAAAGCCAAACACTTCTCTTGGTTGTACGGATTCTTTTGGGTGACAGGTTTACTTTGTATGACCTACCTTTGAGAAGATGAATTCTCATTTAGCTTTGGGGGAGATCTGGAATTGGGCAATGAATTGGTGGGGGACAGCTAGAGAACTATTGCTTTGGAGGCCCTTTCCCACTCCCTCATTTCAAAGTCTTCAGCCTGCCAAAGATGCATCCTTTGCGATACACACGTTTTGATCTCTGATATTTTTCACATCTGAAACCTTAACAGGTTTCACAAAAATGAAGAGTTGAGCATTAGAATGGACAGGAGCGGAGGAGTAGCAAAGCAGTGGTGAATTACGCACAGAGGGTCAGATGCATGCGTTGCAATGAGAATAAACACAGAAAAGAACTAACCAAGGCTTATGGGAGGATAGAAGCCCAGAGAGCCATGTACATTCATTCACGCACTGCTCATTAGTAATGTTCTAAGTGAATCCTGTATTCCCTGTACCTTTGCACTCTTGAAGGTATAACAGATCAAGCAGACCCATTACCTCTCATTATGAATGTGACAGTGTCAGCATATTGGCAGATGTAACTGTAATCAAATACTCATCACCAAAATGAATGAAATAAACCTATCAAGTGGTGAGAGAGGGAAGGTGTACAAAAACAGTGAAAAATCAAAGAACAGTCTTAAAGGGAAACGTAGCTGAGCTGTGTGGAATGAACTTTTATGAACAAGTTTGACATGATGCCACTGTTTTATAGTCTTTTATATTTACTTGGAAAATAAGCACTAATAAGCAACTAATTTTCACCAACATCTGATTTGCATGATACTGCTAGATAAAGGAAGAACCTGACTTTTTTTCCTACAGGTAAGCCGAACATCAATTCCAGGTGTATTTGTAAATAATTTTAACCAGATTGTTGTAGGTATAACTGCGACCATCCTACCGTTTTGTGTTTGCCTTCCAGTTTCCCAAATAATGTTTATTTTGGTTCATCTCAAGCAATAACATACTGATATTCCAGAAGACAATTTTGACTACAACATTTCCTTGACAATTATGGAACCCTAGAGTACGTGGGAGAAATCTAAAGCATGATTCTGGAATGCTGGACAGTTTTGAATTTTAAAAGTAAGTAAGATTTGGAAATATTGTAGAAGTAAATTGGTTTGTAAGGAAAGTGCATTTTTGCATTTTTCCTCTCTTCCAGAGAAACTCTCTTAAAACATCACTATCTGAGAAATAAATGTAGCATCAAAAAGAGCTAGATCTCAGATCTTCAAAAAACTACACATAGTAGCCAGTCATAAATTAGTCTCCAATGTGTAATTTTATTAGTTTTAATTATCCTTAGGTACAGTCTACAAAAACATTATTAGGTTGCATCATTCTCTTTTAAATTACTTGGATTCATAGTCAGAGCGGATCAATTTCAGTGATTAGGTAGTAGAAAAATAAAGCCCAATAACTGAAGAAAAATCTAGAGTTTTGACCTAAACAAGTCAAAGGCACATACAAATGCCCAGTATTACTGAGTATGTTAGGAAAGGGGGGCAATGGCAATAACATTCCACAAAAGAGGAACTGAAAAATGAGGAATTAAATGAACAGTGGTTGCTGGATAAATATAATCAACATGAGGATACTTCAAGTGGTGCTATTTTACCACTATAAGCCCTATTTAGGATTGCAAACATCACTTCTACCATTCACTTAAAATCAGTTTATACAAAGCTTCAATTAAGCTATATATGTGTGTGTATATTTTCTATTTGTGTGTATATATATATCAAAGACTATATAACATCAATGAGTCTACATGTGTGTTTGAAAATGTACATGTACAGTGATAATACATTTCTCACATACTGTCCTAGAGAGCTAATTAATACTTTACTTGGAGATACATTAAGACTACAAGCACTATGAACTAAAAGCAAGATTTTCTTCCAGTTTTGACCATAGATAGTACAGACTTAAAACCAGCATTATTTGGGGTTAAAATTCCAAAAATGCACTTTAGTTACAAACCACTTTCTCTCAGCAAATTTTCTCATCGCCTCTTTGACGTCTTTGTTCCTCAGGCTGTAGATGACGGGGTTCAGCATGGGAATGACGATGGTGTAGAATGCGGACACCACCATGTCGTGCTCCAAGGCGTAGCTGGAGCTTGGCCTCACGTACATGAAGAGGATTGTCCCGTGGTAAATGGACACTCCGGCGAGGTGGGAGCCACACGTGGAGAACACTTTTCGCCTCCCTTCAGCAGAACGCGTCCTCACAATGGCCAGCAGGATGAAGCCATAGGAAATCAGGACAATCAGGATCGTGACCACCTCAATGGCGCCCACCAAGTAGAAGAGTAGAAGCTGGTTTGTGTGAGTGTCAGAGCAGGAGATAGCGAGGAGAGGAGGGATGTCACAGAAAATGTGCCTAATTTCATTGGATCCACAGAAGGACAGGGTAAATGTGGCCACAGAATGTACTGTGGCATGTAAAATGCCACCAGCATAGGAACCAACGATCAGTGGCACATAAACTCTGGGTGACATACTTACTGAATACAGCAG